AGTCCAGTCCCTGTGCTCCTCAGAGTCCCAGCAGGAGTCCAGTCCCTGTGCTCCTCAGAGTCCCAGCAGGAGTCCAGTCCCTGTGCTCCTCAGAGTCCCAGCAGGAGACCAGTCCCTGTGCTCCTCAGAGTCCCAGCAGGAGTCCAGTCCCTGTGCTCCTCAGAGTCCCAGCAGGAGTCCAGTCCCTGTGCTCCTCAGAGTCCCAGCAGGAGTCCAGTCCCTGTGCTCCTCAGAGTCCCAGCAGGAGTCCAGTCCCTGTGCTCCTCAGAGTCCCAGCAGGAGGCCAGTCCCTGTGCTCCTCAGAGTCCCAGCAGGAGGCCAGTCCCTGTGCTCCTCAGAGTCCCAGCAGGAGTCCAGTCCCTGTGCTCCTCAGAGTCTCAGCAGGAGTCCAGTCCCTGTGCTCCTCAGAGTCCCAGCAGGAGTCCAGTCCCTGTGCTCCTCAGAGTCCCAGCAGGAGTCCAGTCCCTGTGCTCCTCAGAGTCCCAGCAGGAGTCCAGTCCCTGTGCTCCTCAGAGTCCCAGCAGGAGTCCAGTCCCTGTGCTCCTCAGAGTCCCAGCAGGAGTCCAGTCCCTGTGCTCCTCAGAGTCCCAGCAGGAGTCCAGTCCCTGTGCTCCTCAGAGTCCCAGCAGGAGTCCAGTCCCTGTGCTCCTCAGAGTCCCAGCAGGAGTCCAGTCCCTGTGCTCCTCAGAGTCCCAGCGGGAGTCCAGTCCCTGTGCTCCTCAGAGTCCCAGCAGGAGGCCAGTCCCTGTAGCTGTTTCAAAGTCTATTCTCTGAGCCACAGGAAGCCAGTGCAGAGACCTGAGAACTGGACTAATGTGATCGTACTTCCTGGTTCTAGTTAGGATTGTCACTCCCGGATTCGTCCCGGAAGTTCAGTTTGATCCATTGATCATACGCAGCAGTAGATTACGTCACGGAATCTGGACAGAAGTAAATATAACAAACTACCTATTCATGCCTAAACATAACCAGCCATTCCCATAAAATAACCCCAACCCACCTTAACCCTAAACTTAACCATCTTACTCAGACCACCTTAACCCTAACCTTAACCATCTTACTCAGACCACCTTAACCATCTTACTCAGACCACCTTAACCCTAACCTTAACCATCTTACTCAGACCACCTTAACACTAACCTTAACCATCTTACTCACACCACCTTAACCCTATCCTTAACCATCTTACTCAGACCACCTTAACCCTAACCTTAACCATCTTACTCAGACCACCTTAACCCTAACCTTAACCATCTTACTCAGACCACCTTAACCATCTTACTCAGACCACCTTAACCATCTTACTCAGACCACCTTAACACTAACCTTAACCATCTTACTCAGACCACCTTAACCCTAACCTTAACCATCTTACTCAGACCCACCTTAACCCTAACCTTAACCATCTTACTCAGACCACCTTAACCCTAACCTTAACCATCTTACTCAGACCACCTTAACCCTAACCTTAACCATCTTACTCAGACCACCTTAACCCTAACCTTAACCATCTTACTCAGACCACCTTAACCCTAACCTTAACCATCTTACTCAGACCACCTTAACCCTAACCTTAACCATCTTACTCAGACCCACCTTAACCCTAACCTTAACCATCTTACTCAGACCACCTTAACCCTAACCTTAACCATCTTACTCAGACCACCTTAACCCTAACCTTAACCATCTTACTCAGACCACCTTAACCCTAACCTTAACCATCTTACTCACACCACCTTAACCCTAACCTTAACCATCTTACTCAGACCACCTTAACACTAACCTTAACCATCTTACTCAGACCACCTTAACCCTAACCTTAACCATCTTACTCAGACCACCTTAACCCTAACCTTAACCATCTTACTCAGACCCACCTTAACCCTAACCTTAACCATCTTACTCAGACCACCTTAACACTAACCTTAACCATCTTACGCAGACCACCTTAACCCTAACCTTAACCATCTTACTCAGACCACCTTAACCCTAACCTTAACCATCTTACTCAGACCCACCTTAACCCTAACCTTAGCCATCTTAATCAGACACCTTAACCCTAACCTTAACCATCTTACTCAGACCACCTTAACCCTAACCTTAACCATCTTACTCAGACCACCTTAACCCTAACCTTAACCATCTTACTCAGACCACCTTAACCCTAACCTTAACCATCTTACTCTGACCACCTTAACCCTAACCTTAACCATCTTAATCAGACCACCTTAACCCTAACCTTAACCATCTTACTCAGACCACCTTAACCCTAACCTTAACCATCTTACTCAGACCACCTTAACCCTAACCTTAACCATCTTACTCAGACCACCTTAACCCTAACCTTAACCATCTTACTCAGACCACCTTAACACTAACCTTAACCATCTTACTCAGACCACCTTAACCCTAACCTTAACCATCTTACTCAGACCACCTTAACCCTAGCCTTAACCATCTTACTCAGACCACCTTAACCCTAACCTTAACCATCTTACTCAGACCACCTTAACCCTAACCTTAACCATCTGACTCAGACCCACCTTAACCCTAACCTTAACCATCTTACTCTGACCACCTTAACCCTAACCTTAACCATCTTACTCAGACCACCTTAACCCTAACCTTAACCATCTTACTCAGACCACCTTAACCCTAACCTTAACCTCTTACTCAGACCACCTTAACCCTAACCTTAACCATCTGACTCAGACCCACCTTAACCCTAACCTTAACCATCTTGCTCTGACCACCTTAACCCTAGCCTTAACCATCTTACTCAGACCACCTTAACCCTAACCTTAACCATCTTACTCAGACCACCTTAACCCTAACCTTAACCATCTTACTCAGACCACCTTAACCCTAACCTTAACCATCTTACTCAGACTCACCTTAACCCTAACCTTAACCATCTTACTCTGACCACCTTAACCCTAACCTTAACCATCTTACTCAGACCACCTTAACCCTAACCTTAACCATCTTACTCAGACTCACCTTAACCCTAACCTTAACCATCTTACTCAGACCACCTTAACCCTAACCTTAACCATCTTACTCAGACTCACCTTAACCCTAACCTTAACCATCTTACTCTGACCACCTTAACCCTAACCTTAACCATCTTACTCAGACTCACCTTAACCCTAACCTTAACCATCTTACTCAGACCACCTTAACCCTATCCTTAACCATCTTACTCAGACCACCTTAACCCTAACCTTAACCATCTTACTCAGACCACCTTAACCCTAACCTTAACCATCTTACTCAGACCACCTTAACCCTAACCTTAACCATCTTACTCAGACCACCTTAACCCTATCCTTAACCATCTTACTCAGACCACCTTAACCCTAACCTTAACCATCTTACTCAGACCACCTTAACCCTAACCTTAACCATCTTACTCAGACCCACCTTAACCCTAACCTTAACCATCTTACTCAGACCACCTTAACCCTAGCCTTAACCATCTTACTCAGACCACCTTAACCATCTTACTCAGACCACCTTAACCATCTTACTCAGACCACCTTAACCCTAACCTTAACCATCTTACTCAGACCACCTTAACCCTAACCTTAACCATCTTACTCAGACCACCTTAACCCTAACCTTAACCATCTTACTCAGACCACCTTAACCCTAACCTTAACCATCTTAATCAGACCACCTTAACCATCTTACTCAGACCACCTTAACCCTAACCTTAACCATCTTACTCAGACCACCTTAACCCTAACCTTAACCATCTTAATCAGACCACCTTAACCCTAACCTTAACCATCTTACTCAGACCACCTAAACTTAACCAGTCACCACTTAAGGACTTATTAACTGAACTTCCGGACGAATCCAGGAATGACAAGGACTAATGTGATCATACTTCCTGGTTCTAGTCAGGACTCAAGCTGCTGTGAATCTGAATCAGATAATAAGATTTGTTTTAAACTAAATATATATTAATGAAAATAAACAGCACTCAGATTTCCAATGTGGTTTTACAGCAAATGGGAAATAGATTTTATCAAAGACTGTTCAAATGACTTTATTCATTCAGCTGCCCTGGGGCACATTGATAGGAGTGAGCCAACCAGTCTATGGTTTCAGGGCACCACAATCTTTACATCAAAATTCTGAGGAAACTAAAAAATCTGTCGCCTAAAGGGTTAATTGATTATTATTTCATATTTTTTAATGTTTATCTTTAATGTGATTGACACCGTTTTGGCGTGGGCATGAGAAGCATTATACAACATGACAATAGCAACCCCAAACCCAGATTGTCTGATTGGGTTTTGTAAAATGCTGAGTCAGTGGATGCATTCAAGGGACACACGGAAAAATCTATTCAAATCTAATTACATTCTAATCCATAACTCCCCGTTTGGCAGCAGGACCAGTGGCAGCAGGACCAGTGGCAGCAGGACCAGTGGCAGCAGGACCAGTGCACCAGTGGCAGCAGGACCAGTGGCTGCAGGACCAGTGGCAGCAGGACCAGTGGCTGCAGGACCAGTGGCTGCAGGACCAGTGGCAGCAGGACCAGTGGCTGCAGGACCAGTGGCAGCAGGACCAGTGGCAGCAGGACCAGTGGCTGCAGGACCAGTGGCTGCAGGACCAGTGGCAGCAGGACCAGTGGCTGCAGGACCAGTGGCAGCAGGACCAGTGGCAGCAGGACCAGTGGCTGCAGGACCAGTGGCTGCAGGACCAGTGGCAGCAGGACCAGTGGCTGCAGGACCAGTGGCTGCAGGACCAGTGGCAGCAGGACCAGTGGCAGCAGGACCAGTGCGCAGTCGCTGGTGGAATCTATATTACTGTCATGCTCCGGAGTTGGATGTTTTTTGTTGAGTGAGTTGTGTGAGTCTATGGGGGGAGGGGGGAGCGCCGTGTGACTGAGCATCGCTTCAGTGTCTCTGTTTCGTCTCCAAAAAATGCTCTCCTCCGCCTGGTCCCCAGCAGCAGCAGCAGCAGCAGCAGCAGCAGCAGCAGGAGGATCATAGCAGCAGGCTGTGAATGCTGCATCCGTGCGTGCTCCATCCACCACCGGCCAACATGCGCGCCTTATCCCCCCTGACCAACCCGTGCATGGTCCTCTCTGGCTTCAGTTCTTCCTCCCTCCACTAATCAGACAACACCACCTGTCCACACCTGCGCACAGACAAGGTAAGTGCTGAGTGTGTGTTTTGTGTGTGCGTGCATCAATAGACGAGACTGTTTCTTGGCAATGGGATCGTGCGAGTGTTACAGATGGAAAAAAATAAATAATGAAAGACAGAGATCGCAGATACACACATACGCACACACACACACACACACAGAGAGATGCTGACACGCACGCACAGACCAGGAGTTTCCTGAAGAGTTGGCACAGTGCGCGCTGCTCCAGGCAACAACAGAGACACATCACACCAGCTGGATCCATGCGCAATAATTACCTCCACCCGAAAGTCTTTGTACATTTGTTGTCAAGTCAAAACCTCTATGTGCGTCCCAATTTGGTTTTAAAGAAATTAATTAAGGTTAATAAGCGCGTCATTTGGAGTTTGGTTAAAAGGTACCGAGCTGTGTGTAGGTGTCTGGCAACACACTGCGCCAAGTTGGATGCAAAAAAAACAGTGCGTAAAGATGTGCCAAGGAAAGAAAGTTGGACGCATGGCATAAACACCGCCTGAATGCACAGTGTATGTGTAGGACCTATTTAGACACAATGCGGTCTCAAAAACTGCAAAGTGGACGTAATCTCACCCAATTGTGGCTGTTGCGTAACTTTATAACTCAAGTGCCACATCCTGGGCGCGTGGGCGGAGATGTGAAGTTCCCAGTCCCACTTCTTCTGTTGTTTTGGTTCATTAAAGCTGAGTATAGACGCATTAATGCAGGAGATGTGCTTTTCTACTTTTACACTTGGATGGACAGGGGCTCATTAGGATATAAAAGCTGGACCTGGACTTGGGAGTTCACTATCACATGATGGGACTCAATATAATCTGTGTATTTCCCACCGAGAAAAGAGAAATCATACATCTTGGTGGGATAATAGAAAAAATATATATAAATTTGACAAAACTGATGATTCCATTAATTCAATATATACATAAAGAAAAAAAAGCAACCGTTGTTTGCACTATAGAGATATAGGCTCTTGTTCTAGTTAGGGTTAGGGTTAAGGCAGACTGTTTTATAATCGTAAACATATACATTTAATATGTGGCTATAAATCATTTAAGTCAAATGACTTTCTCTGAACTATGTGCAGTCAAAGTGTGATCGTCTTGAGCAATATTAATCTAGTAATAATAAACATATTTACATGTATCTAAATGCAGGATTCAAATAAATGTACCAACTCCCAATAGTTCATGTGTTGCTCATATGTTTAGCAGAATCAGTGAAAATATTTTAAAAGATAAAATATAATAACATCTTGAAATATGGTATTTTCTATTTTATTTTTATTTTTTGTTTAAATAATTGAATACATACTTTGATTCATTAAAGCTGTGGTACCTAACTTTCAAACATCAAAGATAGAATCCATCCTCGCTCTCAAAACTGTCACAGGCGCTGTTACCACGGCGACCTCTGCTCCTGACGTGAGCTTTAGCATCAGGGTCACAGGCGCTGTTACCACGGCGACCTCTGCTCCTGACGTGAGCCTTAGCATCAGGGTCACAGGCGCTGTTACCACGGCGACCTCTGCTCCTGACGTGAGCTTTAGCATCAGGGTCACAGGCGCTGTTACCACGGCGACCTCTGCTCCTGACGTGAGCCTTAGCATCAGGGTCACAGGCGCTGTTACCACGGCGACCTCTGCTCCTGACGTGAGCCTTAGCATCAGGGTCACAGGCGCTGTTACCACGGCGACCTCTGCTCCTGACGTGAGCTTTAGCATCAGGGTCACAGGCGCTGTTACCACGGCGACCTCTGCTCCTGACGTGAGCCTTAGCATCAGGGTCACAGGCGCTGTTACCACGGCGACCTCTGCTCCTGACGTGAGCTTTAGCATCAGGGTCACAGGCGTTGTTACCACGGCGACCTCTGCTCCTGACGTGAGCCTTAGCATCAGGGTCACAGGCGCTGTTACCACGGCGACCTCTGCTCCTGACGTGAGCTTTAGCATCAGGGTCACAGGCGTTGTTACCACGGCGACCTCTGCTCCTGACGTGAGCTTTAGCATCAGGGTCACAGGCGCTGTTACCACGGCGACCTCTGCTCCTGACGTGAGCCTTAGCATCAGGGTCACAGGCAGAGGATGAATACGGAGATTAATAAAATGCCTTTACCATTTTTCACATAATTTGGCCTCATTTTAGAGAAGCTTTGAAAGACATAAAAGTGAAAGAGAAAGGACCACCGTCACTCAGCTCTCAGCCCAAAGCGTCAGATAGTGACTCCCAGGGCTCTTTCTAACGAGATGCACAAAATAACAAGATGAAGTCAACATTTCACATTGGGAATAATGTATTGATGAAAAGTTACATACCCCAGCTTTAGTCGACACGCCCAAACATAAGCCTATGTTTTTATACCACTCCATGTTATTTGGAGAAATTTTCCGACATCATCTTGGCACTTTACTTTTCCGTCCCGGTCGATCAGTTTCGGAAACAGCTGACGGCGCCGTTACCGTGGAAACAGTCATTTAAAAAGTCATTTGCATACACCTTAACTGTGTTTCTATGGTAACAGACTATTTTCTTTTTTGGAGGCTGTAGAACCTTTTTATTTATTTATTTTACACCATTGTTTTCATGGCAACCAGGGAGCAGGCGCAGGCAGGATTATTTCACAGATAGGAATTATAAATTATACTTTGGTTTTCGGTGGAATTAAAGTTGATGCCAGAGTTATTACGCAGCGTTCTTCGAATACTTTTACAGATAATTGTTGTTTGTTTTGAGTGATATGCAAAATATTGTCAGAGCACGATTCAATTTAAAGAGATTGAGATCTGAAATGGCAAGCTAGCCGTGCTTTCACAAGGATTTATCCCCAAAAATAAGCAACAACAATGAATTTAGTTGAATTCCGGTGTCTTTTGGAATGATTCTCAAAGTTTTGGTACGCCGTGAGATGTTGGTGTGACTTTGGAAAGGATCCTTTACCACATGATTGGTCAAAATAATGTGAAAATATTCTTCTTCTTTGATTATCCACATATAACACTTTGATGAGAATGAGTTTGCTTTGTCAATAAAGGAGAGATTAGGTTTTGTATCGGCTCCATCTGGTGGCGTGGAGTGGGATTGTTTTGGATGAATAAGGCTCAAAATAGTCGGGGAAAACTGATCAAAACAACTGAATACAACCCTAATCAGAAACTGGTCTGATGCGGTCGGCCCCTGCTTGTTGTTGCTTAGTTTGAAATATTGGTGCTTAAAAACTGAATTCTTACACTGAAAAGACGCTCCACAGATATATCTTGAAACTTGTAAGTTGCTTGAAGACAAACTGATGAAAATGTCAGGTACAGAAACACCCGGACAATAGTAGAACGCAGTCTCAGCCCCCGGTACATGAGCAGGTTTGGCCCCCGGTACATGAGCAGGTGTGGCCCCCGGTACATGTGCAGGTGTGGCCCCCGGTACATGAGCAGGTGAGGCCCCCGGTACATGAGCAGGTGTGGCCCCCGGTACATGAGCAGGTGTGGCCCCCGGTACATGAGCAGGTGTGGCCCCCGGTACATGTGCAGGTGTGGCCCCGGTACATGAGCAGGTGTGGCCCCGGTACATGAGCAGGTGTGGCCCCCGGTACATGAGCAGGTGTGGCCCCCGGTACATGAGCAGGTGAGGCCCCCGGTACATGAGCAGGTGTGGCCCCCGGTACATGAGCAGGTGTGGCCCCCGGTACATGAGCAGGTGTGGCCCCCGGTACATGAGCAGGTGTGGCCCCCGGTACATGAGCAGGTGTGGCCCCCGGTACATGAGCAGGTGTGGCCCCCGGTACATGAGCAGGTGTGGCCCCCGGTACATGTGCAGGTGTGGCCCCCCCCCGTACATGAGCAGGTGTGGCCCCGGTACATGAGCAGGTGTGGCCCCCGGTACATGAGCAGGTGTGGCCCCGGTACATGAGCAGGTGTGCCCCCGGTACATGAGCAGGTGTGGCCCCCGGTACATGAGCAGGTGTGGCCCCCGGTACATGAGCAGGTGTGGCCCCCGGTACATGAGCAGGTGAGGCCCCCGGTACATGAGCAGGTGTGGCCCCCGGTACATGAGCAGGTGTGGCCCCCGGTACATGAGCAGGTGAGGCCCCCGGTACATGAGCAGGTGTGGCCCCGGTACATGAGCAGGTGTGGCCCCGGTACATGAGCAGGTGTGGCCCCGGTACATGAGCAGGTGAGGCCCCCGGTACATGACCCACTGTGGCCCCCGGTACATGAGCAGGTGAGGCCCCCGGTACATGAGCAGGTGTGGCCCCCGGTACATGAGCAGGTGTGGCCCCCGGTACATGAGCAGGTGTGGCCCCCGGTACATGAGCAGGTGTGGCCCCCGGTACATGAGCAGGTGAGGCCCCCGGTACATGACCCACTGTGGCCCCCGGTACATGAGCAGGTGAGGCCCCCGGTACATGAGCAGGTGTGGCCCCCGGTACATGAGCAGGTGTGGCCCCCGGTACATGAACAGGTGTGGCCCCCGGTACATGAGCAGGTGTGGCCCCCGGTACATGTGCAGGTGTGGCCCCCGGTACATGAGCAGGTGTGGCCCCCGGTACATGAGCAGGTGTGGCCCCCGGTACATGAGCAGGTGTGGCCCCGGTACATGAGCAGGTGTGGCCCCCGGTACATGAGCAGGTGTGGCCCCCGGTACATGACCCACTGTGGCCCCCGGTACATGACCCACTGTGGCCCCCGGTACATGAACAGGTGTGGCCCCCGGTACATGACCCACTGTGGCCCCTTGTTTTTCCTTTAATTACAGACAGGGAGGTGTCACGATAGAAGCGTCAGAACAAACCAGTGCCAGAGACAAATGTGGTTTTATGAATTACAACATCATCTATATCTATATCTATATCTATATCTATATCTATATCTATATCTATATCTATATCTATATCTATATCTATATCTATATCTATGGGAGCTGTATGTAAGGGATGGTGTACAATACACAGGTCATTATCAGAAAATAAGCACTGACGCAGCTAGCAACAGTTAGGCTAGTAACAGTTAGGCTAGCAACAGTTAGGCTAGTAACAGTTAGGCTAGCAACAGTTAGGCTAGTAACAGTTAGACTAGCAACAGTTAGGCTAGTAACAGTTAGGCTAGTAACAGTTAGGCTAGTAACAGTTAGGCTAGTAACAGTAAGGCTAGTAACAGTTAGGCTAGTAACAGTTAGGCTAATAACAGTTAGGCTAGCAACAGTTAGGCTAGCAACAGTTAGGCTAGTAACAGTTAGGCTAGTAACAGTTAGGCTAGTAACAGTTAGGCTAGCAACAGTTAGGCTAGTAACAGTTAGGCTAGTAACAGTTAGGCTAGCAACAGCTAGGCTAGTGACAGTTAGGCTAGTGACAGTTAGGCTAGTAACAGTTAGGCTAGTAACAGTTAGGCTAGTAACAGTTAGGCTAATAACAGTTAGGCTAGTAACAGTTAGGCTAGTAACAGTTAGGCTAATAACAGTTAGGCTAGTAACAGTTAGGCTAGTAACAGTTAGGCTAGTAACAGTTAGGCTAGCAACAGTTAGGCTAGTAACAGTTAGGCTAGCAACAGTTAGGCTAGTAACAGTTAGGCTAGCAACAGTTAGGCTAGTAACAGTTAGGCTAGCAACAGTTAGGCTAGTAACAGTTAGGCTAGTAACAGTTACAGTTAGGCTAGTAACAGTTAGGCTAGTAACAGTTAGGCTAGAAGCTAGACAGTTAGGCTAGTAACAGTTAGGCTAGTAACAGTTAGGCTAGTAACAGTTAGGCTAGTAACAGTTAGGCTAGTAACAGTTAGGCTAGTAACAGTTAGGCTAGTAACAGTTAGGCTAGACTATAGTAACAGTTAGGCTAGTAACAGTTAGGCTAGTAACAGTTAGGCTAGTAACAGTTAGGGCTAGTAACAGTTAGGCTAGAACAGTTAGGCTAGTAACAGTTAGGCTAGTACAGTTAGGCTAGCAGTAACAGTTAGGCTAGTAACAGTTAGGCTAGAACAGTTAGGCTAGTAACAGTTAGGCTAGTAACAGTTAGGCTAGTAACAGTGGCTAGGCTAGTAACAGTTAGGCTAGTAACAGTTAGGCTAGTAACAGTTAGGCTAGGCTAGTAACAGTTAGGCTAGTAACAGTTAGGCTAGTAACAGTTAGGCTAGTAACAGTTAGGCTAGTAACAGTTAGGCTAGTAACAGTTAGTTAGGCTAGTAACGTTAGGCTAGTAAGTTAGGCTAGTAACAGTTAGGCTAGTAACAGTTAGGCTAGTAACAGTTAGGCTAGTAACAGTTAGGCTAGTAACAGTTAGGCTAGTAACACAGTTAGGCTAGTAACAGTTAGGCTAGTAACAGTTAGGCTAGTAACAGTTAGGCTAGTAACAGTTAGGCTAGTAACAGTTAGGCTAGTAACAGTTAGGCTAGTAACAGTTAGGCTAGTAACAGTTAGGCTAGTAACAGTTAGGCTAGTAACAGTTAGGCTAGTAACAGTTAGGCTAGTAACAGTTAGGCTAGTAACAGTTAGGCTAGCTTAGTAACAGTTAGGCTAGTAACAGTTAGGCTAGTAACAGTTAGGCTAGTAACAGTTAGGCTAGTAACAGTTAGGGTAACAGTTAGGCTAGTAACAGTTAGGCTAGTAACAGTTAGGCTAGTAACAGTCAGTTAGGCTAGTAACAGTTAGGCTAGTAACAGTTAGGCTAGTAACAGTTAGGCTAGTAACAGTTAGCTAGTAACAGTTAGGCTAGAACAGTTAGGCTAGTAACAGTTAGGCTAGTAACAGTTAGGCTAGTAACAGTTAGGCTAACAGTTAGGCTAGTAACAGTTAGGCTAGAACGGTAACAGTTAGGCTAGTAACAGTTAGGCTAGTAACAGTTAGGCTAGTAACAGTTAGGCTAGTAACAGTTAGGCTAGTAACAGTTAGGCTAGTAACAGTTAGGCTAGTAACAGTTAGGCTAGTAACAGTTAGGCTAGTAACAGTTAGGCTAGTAACAGTTAGGCTAGTAACAGTTAGGCTAGTAACAGTTAGGCTAGTAACAGTTAGGCTAGTAACAGTTAGGCTAGTAACAGTTAGGCTAGTAACAGTTAGGCTAGTAACAGTTAGGCTAGTAACAGTTAGGCTAGTAACATTAGGCTAGTAACAGTTAGGCTAGTAACAGTTAGGCTAGTAACAGTTAGGCTAGTAACAGTTAGGCTAGTAACAGTTAGGCTACAGTTAGGCTAGTAACAGTTAGGCTACAGTTAGGCTAGTAACAGTTAGGCTAGTAACAGTTAGGCTAGTAACAGTTAGGCTAGTAACAGTTAGGCTAGTAACAGTTAGGCTAGCAACAGTTAGGCTAGTAACAGTTAGGCTAGCAACAGTTAGGCTAGCAACAGTTAGACTAGTAACAGTTAGGCTAGTAACAGTTAGGCTAGTAACAGTTAGGCTAGTAACAGTTAGGCTAGTAACAGTTAGGCTAGTAACAGTTAGGCTAGTAACAGTTAGGCTAGTAACAGTTAGGCTAGCAACAGTTAGGCTAGTAACAGTTAGGCTAGTAACAGTTAGGCTAGTAACAGTTAGGCTAGTAACAGTTAGGTTAGTAACAGTTAGGCTAGCAACAGTTAGGCTAGCAACAGTTAGGCTAGTAACAGTTAGGCTAGTAACTTCCAAACTAGAACTCTGCATGAAAACCAAGCCCCGGCGATCCAAGATGGCGCCCTATTCAAATGAATGGTTGTGCTCAGTGGCGCTTTGTGACGGCATGGGGGCTGAAAGATTAGCGGAAGTCGCCTGGAACTCGCAAAGATCTTTGGGAAACTCTCAAAGATCTTTGGGAAACTCTCAAAGGTCTATGGGAAACTCTCAAAGATCTATGGGAAACTCTCAAAGATCTATGGAAACTCTCAAAGGTCTATGGGAAACTCTCAAAGATCTATGAGAAACTCTCAAAGATCTATGGGAAACTCTCAAAGATCTATGGGAAACTCTCAAAGATCTATGAGAAACTCTCAAAGATCTATGAGAAACTCTCAAAGATCTATGGGAAACTCTCAAAGGTCTATGGGAAACTCTCAAAGATCTATGGGAAACTCTCAAAGATCTATGGGAAACTCTCAAAGATCTATGGGAAACTCTCAAAGATCTATGGGAAACTCTCAAAGATCTATGGGAAACTCTCAAAGATCTCTGGGAAACTCTCAAAGATCTATGGGAAACTCTCAAAGATCTATGAGAAACTCTCAAAGATCTATGGGAAACTCTCAAAGATCTATGGGAAACTCTCAAAGATCTATGGGAAACTCTCAAAGGTCTATGGGAAACTCTCAAAGATCTATGGGAAACTCTCAAAGATCTATGGGAAACTCTCAAAGATCTATGGGAAACTCTCAAAGATCTATGGGAAACTCTCAAAGGTCTATGGGAAACTCTCAAAGATCTATGGGAAACTCTCAAAGGTCTATGGGAAACTCTCAAAGGTCTCTGGGAAACTCTCAAAGGTCTATGGGAAACTCTCAAAGATCTATGGGAAACTCTCAAAGATCTATGGGAAACTCTCAAAGATCTATGGGAAACTCTCAAAGATCTATGAGAAACTCTCAAAGGTCTATGGGAAACTCTCAAAGGTCTATGGGAAACTCTCAAAGGTCTCTGGGAAACTCTCAAAGGTCTCTGGGAAACTCTCAAAGGTCTATGGGAAACTCTCAAAGGTCTATGGGAAACTCTCAAAGATCTATGGGAAACTCTCAAAGGTCTCTGGGAAACTCTCAAAGGTCTCTGGGAAACTCTCAAAGGTCTCTGGGAAACTCTCAAAGGTCTATGGGAAACTCTCAAAGATCTATGGGAAACTCTCAAAGATCTTTGGGAAACTCTCAAAGATCTATGGGAAACTCTCAAAGATCTATGAGAAACTCTCAAAGGTCTATGGGAAACTCTCAAAGGTCTATGGGAAACTCTCAAAGGTCTCTGGGAAACTCTCAAAGGTCTCTGGGAAACTCTCAAAGGTCTATGGGAAACTCTCAAAGGTCTATGGGAAACTCTCAAAGATCTATGGGAAACTCTCAAAGGTCTCTGGGAAACTCTCAAAGGTCTCTGGGAAACTCTCAAAGGTCTCTGGGAAACTCTCAAAGGTCTATGGGAAACTCTCAAAGATCTATGGGAAACTCTCAAAGATCTATGGGAAACTCTCAAAGATCTATGGGAAACTCTCAAAGATCTATGGGAAACTCTCAAAGATCTATGGGAAACTCTCAAAGATCTATGGGAAACTCTCAAAGATCTATGGGAAACTCTCAAAGATCTATGGGAAACTGTCAAAGATCTATGGGAAACTCTCAAAGATCTATGGGAAACTCTCAAAGATCTATGGGAAACTCTCAAAGGTCTATGGGAAACTCTCAAAGATCTATGGGAAACTCTCAAAGGTCTATGGGAAACTCTCAAAGGTCTATGGGAAACTCTCAAAGATCTATGGGAAACTCTCCTGTATTTGGGCATCGTCTGGTCCTCCCGGTTCTGTGCAGTGGATGATCTCCCATAATGCATTGCGTCAAACACGCGTGTGTGGGTCTCACACCGGGTCTCACGCACGTGCACAGAGGGTCTCACGCACGTGCACAGAGGGTCTCACGCACGTGCACAGAGGG